GATTGTAGCTTCTACAGTATGTGTAACACGCGCATCAAATCAGTTATGCATTTACTACTTTCTGAAATGCTATGTGTGACTGTAAAATAAGCAGAAAAACAGTGATCGACACAAAAATGTCAATAGTCGGCCTTGGCACAAGTATAACCTTCTTGACATTTTTGTTACCCCCTTTCCCCCCCACCCCACAGCCCCCAAAAAAGCATATATTAAAACCATAAAAGGGGGGAAGCCATCACTTCCTTTTAATGTGCTAATGTCTTTTGGTAAAACACAGCAAGTTGTGTGTGTGTGTGTGTGTGTGTAGAGGAGGGAGTGGGGGATAAGTGTGTGGGTGTGAGGAGGGAGGGCGTGGGGTGTGGGGGGTGTGGGGGGGTGAGGTGGGGGGGGGGGATGGAGGTTGCACCTAAAATTATTAACCTAATTTTTTTTAAAAAATAACAAAAAGCAGTAAACGTATGGAATGGAACCGGCTCCCGAGGGAGGGAGGGAGGGAGGGAGGCGGTGGGAGCGGAAAAGTGTCGTTTCTTTCCAGAAAACAAATGAGCTGAACATTTCTGTGCAGAGAATTAAAAACAAATATGTATTTAACCCAAAATGTACGTTTGTGCGCGTGTGGGTGGGTGGGTGGGTGGGTGGGCGGCGAACTGGGGAACCTTCTTTTACGTGGATGTTCTTATAAAAAATGTCTATTTATTTATTGTTTGCCCCCCCACCTTTATTGGGATTCGACACAGGACCGAGGTCACGCAAACCAAAGAAGAAGGTGCCCAACAAGGAGGACAAGAGACCAAGGACAGCCTTCACTGCCGAACAACTGCAGAGACTGAAAGCTGAGTTTCAAACGAACCGCTATCTCACCGAACAGCGCCGGCAAAGCCTGGCTCAGGAACTCAATCTCAACGAATCCCAAATCAAAATCTGGTTCCAGAACAAACGGGCCAAAATCAAAAAAGCTAGCGGATCAAAGAACATTCTGGCACTTCACTTAATGGCTCAAGGACTCTACAACCACTCCAGCAACGGGAAGGCAGAGAAAGACGATAGCGAATGAGTGACCCCCCCAGATTTTTTAAAAAAATAAATAAATCAACAAACAAACAGATAAATAGATAATGATAAAATGAATGAGGAGAAGGGACGAAAAAGAAACAATGCAATAATATAAATGGAGAGCGAGAGAGCGAGAGAGAGAGAGCGAGAGAGAGAGAGAAAGAGAGCGAGAGAGAGAGAGAGAAAGAGAGAGAGAAAGAGAGAGAAAGAGACAGAGAAAGTCAGAGAGACAGAGAGACATAGAGGCAGAAATACAAGGGCCAGTGTATTGACGAGACAGAGAGAGAGAAAGAAATAATGATACCAGCATAGTTTTTAAAAGAAAATGAAGTTGTATGAGATATTATTCCGCAATATTCTGTGTATATAATTCAGGTAAGGTGTTGTACAAAAAAAAAGACTGAGATATTTCAATATATGAATGAGTTTTGTTTTTGTTTCTGGGATTTCAGAAGCTCCTTTTTTTTTTTTGGCGGGGATGATGTGTGTGTTTTTTTTTTCTGTTGGTTCTGTTTTCTACCAAGCGTTGGTTCCTGCAAAAGCGCTCAGAAATTGTCTCCCGGAACGTGAGAAACATTAAAACCAACTTGCTGAAGTCCAAAGAATTTTCCTGCTGTTGTTTTACAGAACAAAAAATGTTAACTTAAAATAAATATCCAATGTTTGATTCTACGAGAGGTTTACAGCTTTTGAGATGATATACTAAACTCCCTGTCCCTTCTCTCTCTCTCTCTCTCTCTCCTCCCCTCCCCCCCCCCCACCCCATCCCATCCTTTCCTCCCACCCTTCTCTATCCAACCATCAGCCTCACAGGACAAAACAAAACATATTGCTGTCAGATAGAGAGAGGAGAGAGAGAGAGAGAGTGAGAGGAAGAAACACACACCACATACACACACAGCATTACCGCTGCATTAAATATTAACACTTCACAGAGACGAGTCATTTCCACAATGGAAAATGAGAACTTAATTGAGATGCAGACAATTCTGCGTGAGAAAGAGAGAGAGAAAGAGAGAGAGAGAGAGAGAGGGAAGGAGGGGTGTGTGTGAGAGGGGGGGGGAGAGAGAAAGATTAAATCGTGTGAGTTGGGAGAGGGTTGGGAAGGGAAAAGCGAGAATAAAAAAAATATTCCCAGATTAAGTTATGGAATTATCCCTATAATGGCAATCCGAAGCAGCCGCACCCGATCCATAACTGTCATAAATACAACGCAGCCCCACTTTTATTTTAATATTTGGGTTGTACATTATTTGCTCAATAGCTTTTCTTTAGACGGTATACGACCCCTAACCCTACCCCCCCCCCACCCCCACCCCGCACCCCAAGTTTTAAGAACTCTAAAGTCAGTGTTTAAGTTTATTCTTAGTTTGCAGCGGTGTGTGGGTGGGGGGTGTGTGTGGGTGGGGGGTGGGTGGGTGGGGGTGGCAACAATTTAAAAAAGTGGTAAATAACATAACTCTCCCACACTGTCGCGCCTCTGGAACACCTTCCTGCGTAGATGGGGGTCCTCAAACTCCTTCCCAACACACTTAATATCAAGTTCAACTCTCCCCCCCCACCCCCACCCCACCCCCCCACCCCCAACCCTCACCCCCCAGAACTTCATCCTAAATCAAAAATGATCGTGGATCAGTTGAAAGACCGCTCTTAAAACAATAACCAACAGAGAGAGGGGGGTGGGGGGGGGGGGGGGTTGTATTTGGGAATATAAAATATTGATCAAGCGTTGTTGTATTTCTGTGTGTTGATGTCCTGCGGCGAGAGGGAGGATTTCCTTTTGTTTAAACTTGGCATTAACTCTCAAACTAACCTAAACATCAGCACTTACTTTCTGACTCAAATGACTGACAATTAATGTGTTGGCGCTGGAGCTCAAAACCCAATTACATATTTAAACACAGCGGCTTCTCCCCCCCACCCCCTCCCCACCCCAACCCCACCACCCCCCAACCCCCCCACCACCCCCATCACCATTTCTGTCTGCTACCCTCCCTATTTTTTTAAAGAAAACAAATGAAATGTAATCTTTTGTTGTTGCTGTGGTTCTCCAATACACTATAGAGAGCGACCTCTCTTTACACACACACAGACACACACAGATACACACACACAGACACAGACACACACAGACACAGAGGGAGAAAGAGAGAAATTGTCATTGTGATGTTTATTAACAGCTTTTTGAAATGTACCAAATCCTTTGGAAAGGAAGTTTTGTTTTGAGAAGGTGAGAGTGGCTTTGTTTTTCTGATAATTCCAGTTGAAGTCGGACCTGTTGTCGTGAGCAGAAAGGAGATTGCAAACACACACACAAAAAAATAAAAGCAGGTTATAATGAACCCACGTTAAAATCCGCTGTTTTCTGGGCTGTGCCCCAACGCCGGTGAAAATGCGATAGGCGACGATTTTGTGTCAGAATACGAAAGCGAATCGAGTTGCATAATATCAAAGCTTGCGAATTATTTTAACTCATTTCCCCTATTCAGACTCGAACCAGTCGACTTAATATGACGCGCCCTAATGTATGTGTTGGGTGCAATCAGCATAAATAAGGTTTTATTATTATTCAGGGCGTTTTTATTTTTATTTTTTTTTACTTTGGCTGCCTCCAAAATTGCCACTGTCAATTCAGCTGTTCCTTTGATAACTTTTATTGTAACACGAGACCGTGGGGGAGAAATCTGCAGAATGAAACTGAATTCAAATGATTTGGTCCAAATGCGAGTGCCCGGAGTAGGAAGCGAGCACTCACTGGGAAATAGGGAATGCCGGAGGTGTTAGTGAGAAGAACAACTCGGGTCTCGAAGCTTCGCCTTTTAAATATCAAAGAAAACAGAAAAAAAATCGTTCTGTATGGCATCGTCCTCCCTAAATTATAAGACTGTGTGTGTGATTTTATATGTATGGCTCCGGATTTGAAACAGTGAACATCATAATATATGTTATATACACATATTATATATATGTGTATATACACATATCTTATATATGTGTGTATATATATCATTAACTCAATATTTATGTCCAAGTGTTTTTTATTCTTAATATGGATTGTTACACACACACACACACACATATATATATATAAAAAAAGGCACAATTTAAAGTGACCCGTTCAGTAATATTTCGCAGCAGTTCAAATAGAATGAAATCACATTACTTAAATAGGTAACAGCAAATATTCAGTACTAATTTCATTATACACAAACCGTAGATTTTTTTTTAAAAAATCAAGCAATACCAAAACGTTATTTTTTTTAAATAACGGTTTACACGTTATTTATGACAACACGTCGTCCAATCTACTTGAGACGTGGGTTTCGCTTCGAATAAGTTTCTTGCAGATAAGAAAATATACAGTACACGCGATGAGCCTGAACAACGAATCATTTATTCCGTTGCTTTTCAAATACATACCAGTTTGAAATATTATGATTACATCCACAATAACCCCCCCCCCCCCACCCCACAACCCCCACTCCTTCCTTTCCCCCCAATAAAATAAAACGTATGGTCTCGGCAAGCACTAAGCCGAGAAATATAAATCTGTTTAATAGAATAACTGATAGTTTACAAACAACGTTGTTCTTTTAATTCAACAAACAGCGGCGAATTTCTTACCACGTAAATGTACCAGGAAAATACTTTAGTTACAACGCGATGTCAGGTACACGTGAAGCTTCTTAAATGAGAAAACTCCCGTTTTAACGTTGATTAATATTTTCAGAGCTGTGAACGTGTCTGGTTTTGATTTGCATTGAAATGTTAACTAAAATAACAGGGAGAGAGATTAACAGAGAGAGAGAGAGAGAGAGAGAGAGAGAGAGAGAGAAAGTAACAGTGACAACACGTCCAAAAAAAAAGAAGACTTTTTTGTTAGTTTTCTGGCTCTGTGTGTGTGTGCATTGAGGTTCAGGAAAGGGTATAACAGGGACAAAATGTTGTTTTCCACAAAGCTATTTTTTTTTTTCAGAAGCTCTGATTTCCTGCGGAATCCTCAGCTTGTTTACACGTGTGGGCAATCTTGGTTAAGCTTGGCGTTCAAGCTCTAACTCCCTGTACCATTTTAGCAAAGTTTTAGCAAAGAGTTATTGGTAAATTCGGACCCAGGCGAACAGATTTCATTAGCTGATAAAAAAAAATAAACACGAGGAACCAAGAGCCTTTAATAGACCTGAACAAAGTGTATATATGTCATTGACCAGACGAATGCTGTTGTAATACCACAAAATGTCACCTCTTTCGGGGTGGGAGGGGGTGGGGGTGGAAGAGGTGTGTGGGTGGAGAGGCAGAGAGATAGAGAGAAAGAGAGAGAGAAAGAGAAAAAAGAGAGGATGGAGGTGGGGGTGGTGGTGGTGGTGGGGAACCTTAATTCAAAATGAAACGTAATTGTAATACTTTCGGTAGAAAGACGGCGGTAGAGAAAGGGAAATGGGGATCCATTTGGTTGGGGTTCAATGTAATACAGAGCTTCCTGAGAGTTCAGACTAATTCAGGAAAGAGAGTCAAACCCCGACTGATAACACGTTTGTAATTCACCAAATATAAATCCAATGCTGTGCTGTCTGTAAACACCGGGGAGCGGTTACCAAGACTAGGATATGCCAGAAAATACAACTTATCTCCATCACCCCCCCACCCCCCCCACCCTACCCCACCAAAAGGACTAAGGAAGACGGTTCCATTGAATTTAGGGATTTCTCTCTCTCTCTCTCTCTTACAACCGATTAGGTTTCTTAATCAGAAGCCACTTAGAAGCATCGGTGAGAGAGAAAGAGCTTTCCACCCAAGTCTGTTTATTACTCATCTTTATTTATCCCCAGATGGAAAATATTTTCGCACCGCCCTCCCTGTCGTGTCTACTACGCTTTTGCTTCGAAAATGATGAATTCATCCGTGGGATTTTTTTTTTTTTTACAGTCAAACTATACCGCCTGATCGAAAGGAAACAATGATCAGAAGGAGATAGTATTGGACGAACCGCACAATGACCCACACAGTTCTGTGCAATTTCAAGATCTTCGCCGTATATAACACATGCGACCAATTGAGCAATGGTGTACAAATGATTCCCACGCAGTTTCTTTCCTGTGTCAAATTCTCTCTCTCCAAAAGCTATGTGGATAGATCAATGTCGTGCTAACGTTTTCTCTCCCCCTCTC